ATCATCATTATCATCATCTTCACCACCACCAAAACAGTCAACATCATCAATCATTGCCACCATCATACCTCAGTCACACCGCCAGACCTTCCTAAAGACCGACTCCAAGCTGACCTATTTTTAGCCATTGGGTGTAATGTCATCGTTTGTTCGGTTTGTCATCGGTCAGGTGTCGGTCTCGTCGGTGTGACTGAGGTATCAGCAACACTGTCATCATAATCATCATCGTCACTATTATCCTATCCATTACTACAATCTTCATCCTCAGACCAAACACACCCATATGCGCACACCTAAACAAATTTAATGAAGGTGCGATGAGTGCGTAAGTGTCCCACAATCATGAGGCAATATTTTATCATGAGTTTACATTATTCATATAATTCATGTATTATACTGTACGCTTTGTGTACGGTATCACTCTGTACTTTATTCTTACCAGTGTTATGTCTCTGTTCGTAGTTGTATTTGTATTTGAAATACAACTTTTGGTTCCAATAAGGAATAATAATAATATTATTATGGGCCTGTCAAAACAATTTTTTGACCTCAAAGCGGCTGTTGCAGGTTTGCAAAATGCTTGTAAAACTATCAAGTCAACAAAACTGTGTCTATTTGTCCTGTTTTCATAATTTATCTTCGACCAAATTTAAAAAAAAACGATCATACTCTCGCCATAACAATGCATTTTGACGATACAGTGTCATGTGTACGTACTTGCTTGGAGTTCTCTATCGAAAACTGTTTCATCGAATGGCACCGCGTATCAACTTTGAATAGATTGACAGTTGTTTTACCTCCATTCGCCACATTACCTTGGTTCGCGGAGGACGTGTCGTCTGGAAGAGGTTGGACATTGGTTGCTGAAGGCTCCTGTTTCATGGTCTGTCCTCCTGTGGGCCCTTGCACTGCTTCTATTTTCCAAGGGAAATCTAGTCCTGTCAATTCACCTGCTTTTTGGAAATGGGAAAAGATAACATTTAGGACTCGATTTATTTGACAAAAACCACATATCATTTATAACATATTTTGTTTGATAATGTTGATCAACATATTCACTGCTGACTACACAGATCTATATCTAAATAAAGATTCTTAATTTGGAGGTGAATAAACCTATGTGTTCTTGCATTACAAATTTCACCTGCCTCAGATACATAACACGTATCTCACCTAAGGCGTGGTCTATTGGCTCTACACTGTATGTTCCATCACTTTGCGCCTTTGCCGGAAGATTGTCATAATCGTTCATCTCGGCCTCCGTAGTTCCTCTGTTGAAGAAGAAAAAAACACATACAAATAAACAAAACGTATACAGTTAACAACTAGGTTATTCACATCCCTTGTAAATTTGATGTTGTTGGTCATTTACCTATTAACGTGTAGCAAATTATCTTTCAATTAGAGGAAATCGCATGACTCCGTTCCAGATTAATACATTACAATGAATCAAATTCAATTGAGTCGTTTCTCACATGTACCTAATACTTAATTGATTAAATAATAATACGACTAATTGTAATAATGATAACAATCATATTTATATTTATGATGAGAGTAATAATTAAGATGATGATGATGATGATGATAATAATGATAATAACAATAAAACTTATAATAATATTAATAATAATAATGAAAATAATAACAAGTATGATAATAATAATAATAATAATAAAATATGGGTCTATATAATAGCCCTTATTACATCGACAATGTCTCTAAGTGCTTTACATATGGGGGATGCAAAACCCCAATTTGATGGGTTTTGAGACATGGAATCTTGCAAAAAGTTGTTGGGTATCATCATATTCCGAGCACCTCCTGCACAATTTCTATTTGGACTTATTCGAATATATGCTGCTGAAATATGTCGAACAGAACCGAATTTCAGCATGTGTGACATGTCGTCAGGTAATTACATTTCCTACAAGATGATATCACATTTGATAAGTTTCGGCATGATTTGTATAACAATTTTGAGCCCAGAAATGTAGGCAAATACGTCTTTGTACGTATTGCTTCTCATCTTTTTTACTTACGGGATATATTCTTCCATTTCCTTCATTTCGATTTTCTTATGAAAAAATGTGCAGGGAATTTCGAATACTATTTAAAGAGAAAATTTGACCACGTAACGTTTTAACATAGATGAAATGTATTGTACAAGTGTCACATTCACTGTAACGAGAATGATGAATGTCTACTGCAGACTGACAGGCACGAAATCGGATGCTCCTTACGTGTATTTTGACAATAAAAGCTCGTAACACACTTCGAAATAAAACGACCCATGACCCTAAAATTTAACTGGGAATTTTAAACAAAATATTTTTAAAAAAACACACTTTTGGAATGATGATCTAAGCCCACATTCGATTTCACCCGATACTGAGTGAACTGAATGTTAATTTATATGCTGATTTTAAGAGGTTAGGCGGGAAAAGAAATGCCGCTGTAATACAAGCATCAGCACATAAAATTTAATTGTGAGATAGACCCATGCACACTTAAACTTACTGATCTGATTCGTCAGCTAAAGCTTGAGATGTGCCAGCAGTTTCCGTATTCAGGAGCGCAATGCCCTTTCCATTTCCGCTATCTGAAAATTAATGAAATGTATTAAAGGTACTATATGTCGCATTTGCAGCCAACATCAAATTCATTTTGGGGGACTGCAAGTGGGAAATAGTAACTTTAAGGCAGTATTGACATGCTGTATTAACAGATTATAATAAAATATGAATGATCCCATTAACAACATTAATTTCTATCCTTATCAGTTCAGAAGCCGATACAGTACAAGTACACACAAAAATAAATTTTGAATGATACCTCCCCCCCCCCCCTCCCCCTCACGCACCGTCCAGTATTTTTTCCAGTGGATGTTACCTCTCCTTCACTTTCAACTTCACAAACGCAATTGTTAAAATATTGCAATGGTGTTAGATCCTTCACACTTGAGTATACCTGTTGCATCATGTTACTATAATAGCACGGGTCGTTTTCGCGCGTAATCAAAATGTATGTACGGCGGCCTGTAATTCATGTTTTGTTTTAGTTTTCATCACAAAATTAATATTTATTGTTTATCATTCTATCACTTTTTCTTTCTATCTTTCTTCATTTTAATCTCTGTTTCTGCCTCCTTTCACCTTTTCTTATGTTATTCTTTTTTGTGTTATTCCTTATTCCTTGTATCACCTTCTCTTATGTTATTCTTTGTTTTTATAAGGCTCATTTTCTCTTCCTTCCTTTCCTTATGTGATTCTTTGTTTCTTCTTTCTATCACCTTCTGTTATGTTATCATTTGTTTTTATCGTTCTATTATTTACTCTCTATCTTTCCTTATACAATTTTTGTTGTTATTCTTGTACTCTAGTCTCTTTCTCTCTCTCTCTCTCTTATAACTTTCCCGCCAAAACACACTTACATACGCTCCCCCCCCCCCCCCACTCCGTGAACGGAGGGATACCATGCGAGTTACCAAAATGTCCGGTAAAGGGGTACCTTTCACGCACCAAAGTCCGGCTTGTAGTACACAAAAATCCGGCCCGTATTGACTTTACACACCGGACTTAGGGGGTGTTTTCAAAAGGAGGGAACATGCATATACACTGTCGCTCATATAGTTGGAAAAAAATGTTTACCCCAATTTATGGAATTATTTTGACAATGATTATTCCTCATAGATCTAGATAATAGTATACATTCTCAGATTTTATTAAATAATAATTTGCCAGTTTTTTTTTTTTGCGTGACTCCTAAAGCATGTGTATGCTACTATGCTTATCAACTATACGCCCTTAAACCATAAATGACAGTAATGAGGATTAATGCCCCACAAAAAAGGGCACTAATATGGCACATCGACACAGTTTTTATCCTAGAGCCTCACAGTTACGAGGCCATTGCTTTGCCACTGAACCATGACTGTACGCAGCGAGGGCTAGGGTAGGGGCAGTTCACACAAATAAAAAAGTTTAAAAAAAAGTAAATGCAATTTTCAATAATTCATTGAATTTTACCCCGGTCCCCAACATAAAATATCCTCTGTACGACCTCTGTACGAACACTGATAGGGGGTGTAGATCGGTCCACAAATGTAGTGTTCGTAGGGATAAGTGGGTAGGATATGTGTGCGATTAAGTACACGGACATTAAATTATAAAACCCCTTGTTCTTCGTGATGGAAAACCTGAAATGCCATGTTTAATCATCGCTAGACATTAATCCATGACTAAATGGATGAGGAAAAATATGATATTAGAATCACTTATTTAGCTATTATACTAAGAAAAGCTTTTCGTGTTTGAAGGATGTTCTTACCTCGATAAGAATGGATCTCCTCTAAAGAAGGTAATCTGAAATTAATCATATTTAAGAAGGTAATTTATATGGGCTGTGAAAGCATGTATTTGTTTTCATTCATAAACAAATGACAAACATGATATTACAACAAAATGAACAACTGTTGAACGTCAGACACTTATCGAGGCATATTATTTTAAAAAATGGGCTATTATCTTAGCATTACGCATGAAAAGAAGAAAATACATACCTATTCACCTGGTAATACCGTAAAATACAATTCACACATAATTTTAATATTTAAAGGACCAGAGTTGGATAATAACTTGTAAACGAATTTGGTAGAAAATGTATACTATCTTAGTAGTAGAGTAGAAGGAAAACAAAGATGAAGTAGTCGACTTATATATAGCAGGCCTGGCTTTTAGCATCGAACATATTAATTGTCACTAGTTATCGCATACTGTACAATTTCAATGTCCAAACAACAAATATACTATTTGATCAGCTGTTAAGATTTATAATAACACTTAGTGGAATTTTCTATTTCAAAATATGTCATTCCGCTTCCTAGTCAAAAGAGCAAGATGGAAATACGCATTATTTCCTTGAGTTTTGAAAAATATCTTGTCTTACAAGTGACATAGCTGATGGAAACAATGTTATTCTTTTAGACCTGAACAAAAAAATCACCTAGACAGAATCATGTGTTTGATCACTTCGTCCTTGGCATATTGGATTGGTAGTTTGCCTGCGATGTCCCTCACATCTGTCTCGGCTCCATTCTCTAGGAGATAGAACACCAAGGCCTTCTCAGGAGATAGTTCGCCCTTGTAATACTCATCAGAGATCTGAAACATACAATTATATATACTTTTGTAATTAAAACAGTATCATCCATATTGTCAGGATGGATGAAGCATCACACACATACTGACACTGCCTCTTAGAATTACATCAGTTGAAATCTGTATTTTTATTGTAGATTTCCAACACACACAAACACTCGCCTAAATACCAACATACATATTTCTAGGGCCAATCACGGGTATCAGATTCTTGGATTCACTAATAACAGTAATTGAGACTACATTTTCTGAGAGTAGTGATACCGGAGTGGAATGTCCGTTACAACTTTCTACTGTAAGTGAATGCGGTATTTTGAAAGAAATATAACAACTAAAAGTAAGAAATCAGTAGGTTTGGATGGAATATTTATTTTTTATTTTAACTGTTCATGAATGAAATCATTCGACCAATGAGCTATTTGATTAACGATTCCATTATCCAAGGTAAAGATCCAAAGAAATAAAAGATTGCAACAAAAAAAAGTCCCTTCAAACAAAATACACTTGAGAAGAAACAACATACTTTCCATAGAGCAATCGGGTTTTCGTACTATTTCCGTGCGGAGGCTGGGGACACTGCACTGAGATTGCACGATTCCGTACAATCTTCAAGCATCCTCGGTACGGATTTGCCCCGGACTGCCCCCGCCGGGCCTATACAAGAAATTCACGATGCTCTTAGATAATGTGAACATAAACATTGTAGCCCGTAGCCTCCTACGATGCCCCCAAAATCGCACGAAATATCGTAGACTAAATTATCGTACGGCGCCCGGGGCAAATGTTATCTAGGCATTAAGATGAGCGTACGTTCTACCTATTTTTCAGTTCTTTTGGTACGACTCACCTTTGTTAGAGTGGCAGTTTTTTGCACGATGTTCACGCTCTTATAGCAGAGTCTAATGGCTTCATGCAGACACGTCTGGCCGTCAGTTGACTGGACATTGAGATCAGCTCCCTCAGAAACTAACTTCTCAATGATGGACGTGTTACCGTGTTGTATTGCAAGACGGATATCAGTTAAATCATTCTGGGTGAGCTGGATATAAGAAAATACGCAGCATGAAAGCTTGAGATTTTGTTTTTGTTACGCTGGGAAAGCCAAATTTCTGTGAACACAAGTACTGCCATATGTGATCAATTAAATCAATAATTCGAATACATTTTATGCAAACATTCTAACTTTTCTATAAAGGACATACAAAACAGCTTTGAAATCTAACTAGTGTTATAATTAAGTGTGGTAATTATTGGCGATACAAAATCGAATTGGTCAAGTCTAAACAAATAATATATGATAGGTAACCTATGCTTAAAGGTAATACAAAGTTTTGGTATGGGGTCATCAATTTGGTTCAAATGAACATATTGGAAGCATATACGATCCTACAATATTCAGTGATCGATGTCGCGGTCGAAATCGATTCTAAAGTTATGAAATTGTAAATAATAAACACTTTATGTTGAATAGCTCCCTCTCAAGGTCAAGATATTAATTAAGCTATAAAACAATGTTTATTAACTAAAATTGACTGATTAGCTATTCTCGTTCGGAAATTATATACCACAACTACATACTCTGAGATTTTCATGGTCGCAGCTACCATTATACGGCAGTAGGAGCTATTTGAAATTTATCAAAATTTACCGGGAGCACCGGTAAATCTTTATATTCAATTTTTCTCGAAAGCAGAAGTGTCTTAGGGGCTAAAATTTCTGGTGTTTTTTATACATCCACAGGGCATCCAAATATATTAAAATTGTAAAGAATTACTATTCACCCATTTTTCAAAATTTCCCAAAACTTGGTAATACCTTTAATATTCACATGCATGTATTTAATACATCGAAATAGATGAATTCGACATGAAATGTTTTTTTAATTATTTTTACCTTGTAATTTGAACGGTCAATAAATAAATCAGCGATGCTTTGGTACCCGAGGGATGAAGACAATTGCAGAGGTGTTTGCCCATTAATGTCTCCTGTGTCAGAACGTGCTCCTCCTTCCAGAAGGACTTTAACGACATCAAGATTACCATTTTGAACAGCATGGTGTAGAGGAGTCATACATTCATTATCTCCTTTATTCACCTCAGCTTCTTTGGTGATGAGATATTTCATGACATCAAGATGACCCTTCTGGGAGGCAATGTGTAATGCAGTCCTACCCTCATTCTCTCCCTTATTCACATCAGCTCCTTGACTGATGAAATATTTGATGACATCAAGATGACCATTGAAAGCAGTACTGTGTAGTTCAGTCCTACCGTCATTATCTACCTTATTCACCTCAGCTCCTTGACTGATGAGATATTTCATGACATCAAGATGACCATTGAAAGCAGCCTTGTGTAGGGCACTCGCACCTCTATTATCAACCTTAATCACATCCGCTCCTTGACTGATGAGATATTTCATGACATCAAGATGACCATTGAAAGCAGCCTTGTGTAGGGCACTCGCACCTCTATTATCAACCTTATTCACATCCGCTCCTTGACTGATCAGATATTTCGTGACATCAAGATGACCACTTAAGGCAGCACTGTGTAATGCAGTCCTACCGTCATTATCTTTCTCATCCAATGCCGCTTCTTGATTGATGAGATATTTTATGGCATCAAGATGACCCTCCTGAGCAGCCTCGTGTAGTGAATTCCTACCGTCATTATCTCCCTTATTCACCTCAGCTCCTTGACTGATGAGATATTTCATGACATCAAGATTACCCTTTTGAGCAGTACTGTGTAATATAGTCCAACCGTCATTATATACCTTATTTACATCACCTCCTTGACTAATAAGATATTTCACGACATCAAGATGACCCTCCTGAGCAGCCATGTATAGGGCAGTCCCACCGCCATTATCTCCCTTATTCACTTCAGCTCCTTGACTGATGAGATATTTCGTGACATCAAGATGACCATGAAAGGCAGCAATGTGTAATGCAGTACTACCGGCATTATCTTCCTTAATCACATCAGCTTCTTGACTGATGAGATATTTCACGACATCAAGATGACCCTCATGAGCAGCACTCTGTAATGTACTCCAACCGTCATTATCTCCCTTATTCACTTCAGCTCCTTGACTGATGAGATATTTCATGACATCAAGATGACCCTCCTGAGCAGCACTCTGTAATGTAATCCAACCGTCATTATCTCCCTTATTCACTTCAGCTCCTTGACTGATGAGATATTTGATGACATCAAGATGACCATTGAAAGCAGCAATGTGTAGGGCAGTCGCACCTTTATTTTCTACCTTATTCACATCCGCTCCTTGACTGATGAGATATTTCGTGACATCAAGATGACCCTTCTGAGCAGCCCGGTGTAGTGCAGTCCAACCGTCATTGTCTCCCTCATTCACATCAGCTCCTTGACTGATGAGATATTTGATGACATCAAGATGACCCTCCTGAGCAGCACTCTGTAATGTAATCCAACCGTCATTATCTCCCTTATTCACTTCAGCTCCTTGACTGATGAGATATTTGATGACATCAAGATGACCATTGAAAGCAGCAATGTGTAGGGCAGTTGCACCTTCATTATCTTCCCTATTCACATCAGCTCCTTGACTGATGAGAGATATCGTGACATCAAGATGACCATTGAAAGCAGCACTGTGTAATGCAGTCCATCCGTCATTATCTCCCTTCTCTATCTCAGCACCTTGGTTTATGGGATACTCAATGACGGTTCTATGGCGTTTCTTCACCGCATTATGTAAACGTTTGTTTCCACCTTTGTATGTCCGGTATTTGTTATAACCCTTCTTCAGCAGATTTGTGAAGATTTCGATTTTACCCCTCAATCCTGCCTCATGAAGATGTTGATTTCTGTCCTCCATACTTGAAGAACCACCTGTTTGCCAGACATCCTAATCTAGCATGGTTCCTTGTAATGTTCTTCTTCTCTCCTAACGCTCGACTTCGAAATGTTACGATGAACAATCAGGACTGTACTACACACCCTCGAGAAAGATTACTGAACGTTCCTTTGTTAGGACTCCTCAATCCTCCCTCTCTCTCACATGGTGTAACCGCAAGCCTACCGTAATCTAAAACTGGTGTAGCAGATAGTCCCGTTGCATTTTGCATGTTACAGCATAATCATACACTACACTGGGTTCTTGTTTTTTACTCGCAATGTACAGTTGCTATTCATATCGATTTCAGCAAGTTCCAAAGTCCTATGCAGTGAACTAAATCGTTATTCAAATATATCTGTAATTCCTATTCCAATGTTAGCCTCGCTCTTTCCTCCTCTTTTATTTTTCTATTTTCTATTTTTTTTTAGCAACCATCGACGTTTCAATAAATATAAAGCGAGTGCATTTTTTTCAAACAAAGTTTCCTTCCCTTTCACTCTTAAATAAAGGGTGGAAACGTTTGTTCTAGCTGTTCGTCTCTTTCACGGAGACATACATTCACGTGTAACTACGAAGAAACATTTTCAAGGAGGGATATCGTCAAGCCTAATTAAGGAGACACATTCCATGTTTTACATGTTTCATGACACAATTTGTAGTGAAGAAGCATTTGCCGCCTAATGACGTATCTCAATGCAAAATAATTAAATTACTTACTATGCGTGGAGGACGCTGATTCCTAACCTTTGATAATTGAATTACTCATGAACAAAGCAAATATCAACGCTGATTATGATGTTAAGTATAGTAATGGTAATACGGTGAAGGTTGGGAAATAAATCCGACTGAAGTTAACCGGTATTGTGATGACAACAACGACGACGATGTTGGAGTGTACAGTATTTAAATGGTTATGGACATCACGGTAATGGAGTTGAAGATAATGATGGTGAATTGTCCGTTGCATTGCAGCACAAGGAGTCCGGGTGCATGCCTTCTTTATGGAAGTCCCTGTAAAAAAGAAGTCAACGCGGTGTAGTGCCCTTGAGTAAGACACTCAGACGTCAGATGGATGTATAAATAATAACCATGAACTAACATCATTAGCAACGCCCCCCTTTCCGAGCCTAGGCCGCCTAGAACGCTTTTCTGAGAACGTTAACCTGCTTCGCCGGATTGAGGTACACATGAATTTGTCGATATGTATCAATATTTACCGCGATGCATAGATAAGCTTCGAATGGACTTTGATAAGTGGAAAGATTCTTAGCTACAGCTGAAAACTCATAAACGCACTTCTTGTTTACATGGATCACGGAATAGCCTGACCCGTAAAACAGTTCTTTAGGTACCATTGTATATTTTTTACGACGTTAGGGAGACACGATGAAATAGATTACGGTGGAAGAAAGATATTCCTTCCCTAACTGAATAATATGTGTTTTCTATCGATATTATTCGACGTCTGCACCCAGGCTTCTTGCAGCCATTGAGCAGCAAAATTCAATTCCGGTACCTTGGTTTCATATGAGATAACATTGAGGTTAATTATCACGGCATTGTCTCGATTAAATGTTTAATGCATATAATACACACACTATATCAGACAAGTTTGAACATTCTTGGACACATTTACCTTCAGGCAGAAGTTTTTTCTCGCTTAATCACAATCAATCAAAAATGGTTAGTTGACTTTGACTTCTTAGTTGCTACATTTATTGCTCTTGTTATCAGTACGTTGCCCTCTTGAAATGTCTCCTTGTCTTTGCCTCGATGCGCTCTCTCTCTCTCTCTCTCTCTCTCTCTCTTTCTCTCTCTCTCTCTCTCTCTCTTGTCTCTTTCTATCTCTCTCTCTCTTTCTCTTTCTCGTCTCCTCGTTCTCATGACACGGTAAATTACCACGTTGTACCGCATAATGTGAACAAGCCTTTAACATTATGTGCAATGTGTCTGCATTCATAATGTCATTAACTAATAATGTCACATTTTAAAGATGTCTGGATATTGGTATCTCAATTATGTTTTCCATTTGAAATTTATTTATGTAAAATATATAAACCATGTAGTGCAAAGTCGGTGTTTGTAAATATTGTACAAGTATTATAATTTATGACATCAATTGTTTTCTGTGTATATGTACAAAGTCACAAGTATAAGCTTTCGTGTCATTTCCAATGGTCTATCATTTGTACCTAGAAACAGGACCAGTTATCAAACAAATTATGATTGATGATGATTCGTTTCTTTTTATTGAAATAATTCTAGAGTACTTATGATCATAAATTCACTAGTATGTTAATCCTATACTTGATGAAAAAAAAGAGAAACACATAATAGGTAATTTTGTAGTAGATAATTATCAAAGTAAAGTTATTTGACATTTCATGAATTTTAGTTTCTTTTGTTCTTTTGTTACGGAGTTAATGAAAGAAAGTGAAGTGCGGTGCATAAAGAGACTAGGTTGATGGTTGTAGAAGTGCTTGTTTGTTAAATATTAGCCGATAGATTCATTCGTTACAGAATTGTTTGATTGTTTATTACTTGAATGGTTGATTGGTTGCAGGCGCGGATCCAGGATTTCTTAGGGGGAGGCCAAATGTGAAATCATGTGAGCCAAATATTGGTACGTAATGGTGACCAGAAATACCCTCTTACAATATCTTTCAAAAATACTCGGCCCCAGCAAAATAAAATCAACCTTGTCTAATGAAATATAAATGATCAACACCTTTGTAACATGTATCAAATATTTCTATAATTTGTTATGTATGAAATCTACACCAATAATGTTCAATATAAGCAGACCTGACTTATCTAAATATATAACACATCTGCAGCTTATATATCAATTGTCTCATAAACGTCTCGTTCTTGAGTAACATTACCTTAACATCAATAAACAGACCAGCATTGTCCATTTATTTAGTTATCAACGTTACATATTATACCTTCAAACGACCATGATCTCTTCTCAAGACAATCAATGACTGATTTCTTGTCGTAAACAGTCATGTTAACTCCAGACCTGTATTGTACGCTAACTTCACCCTTGACTGCAGGCGCGTACGCAGGGGGGGGGGGGGTTGATTGGGGGTTGACCCCCACCCTTTGGTATTTTTTATGTGTGTATTTTGGAGGAAACCCCCCCCCCCCCTCTTTTTTTAAATAAATAATTTAAAAAAATTATGCCAATGGCTGACCTCAAAAAGTATCCTCTTACCCCCCACTCCCTCCAAAAAAGTGACCTCTTACCCCAACCCCCCTTGGAAAAAATCCTGCGTACGCTACTGTTTGACTGACCTTTCAAAGTCCTCTTTACAATGCATGCATCAACAATACACACCCAATCTCGAAATAGTCAATATGTCCAACTGATAGGACCGGCTCTGCTACGCCCTTGACATCTCTTCAGATATGTCTTTCAAGTTCATCGAACTGTTTGGTATCTCAACAAGTTCTATAATAGTCTTGTCAACATTCTCGGCACAATTAATCTCGAAATAGTCAATATGTCCAACTGATAGGACTGTCTCTGCTACGCCTTTGACATCTCTTCAGATATGTCTTTCAAGTTCATCGAACTATTTGGTTTCTCAACAAGTTCCATAATAGTCTTGTCAACATTCTCGGCACAATTACAGCTCACTATACTGTTCATTTTGCGTTCTCTTCTGGAGACGCCATGTTCTTGGTGATCTGTCGGCCACGTGTCCGAATGTCCCGTCTAGCATCAACTCTCGTAGAAATCTCAGCCTGTCTCCCCAAGGCCCTGTGCCATTTAAAATGTAAAGAGTTCAGGCACGAACATTTCTCTACTATGGATTCTTCTTATAGGTGAAACATGCATCAATACAAATTGTAAATATTTTCCCCTTCTTTAATCATAATGTTCTTTGCCCAAAGTATAATTGATAACAAAAGGTAAAACAACATGTTATACCTTTCTCGTACTTCATTTTGTCATTTGAAATAAAATCACCCTTCATTAGAGTACAAGCTAGATTATGCAATCATCAATGTAGTGAAAGAATACAATTTCATGATTTCACTTAACGATGGAAAAGTATCGGTTTTACTTAAAGGCTGCAAATTCTCATGTAGCAAAACTTATAAAGCAAGAAGTCACATCTTTCTCAACTTGTATTCTTCAATGTGTAGACAAGCAGCTAGCTATATTAGGGACTTTTAGATTTGCGTGGACTGATCCGTGTGACGTCCATTCAAGGCAGTGCATTAAAAGGACGTCGATCGTAGCAATCCCCATTGTCTTCGTGCGAATCTAAAAGTCCCTTATGCTTCTAGGCAAGCTGCAACGTACACCAAGACCTCCGTACACCAAGACAATTCATTGGATGTGGCCCCTAGCCACTGTTACTCCAGTACATTATATACAATCATCTACAAAAGAACTTCCTGTCTATAACAGGTGTAATGCCATTCCACTTTCCTTTCAATGGTAGCCTCAACCTTTTTAGACAGTAACCCGTGACAACACCTTCGATGCTTAGCGGGACACTGTATGATTTCTATACTAAATACATCCACCGATGGCACATTCGCTCTCTCTCTCTCTCTCCCTCTATTCCCCTCTCTCTCTCTCTCTATCTCTCTGTCACATGTATGTACGCTATAATTCGCTTTGTTTATTTTCCTAGTTTAAAGAAAGAAAAAAGATATTTTGATAAAACCGCTGTTTGCGTTTTCCAACATGACAATACCAAACTTTAGAAACAACAAAGTTATACAAATGAAAATACGAGGCCATATAATTAAAAATATGCAGCATAGCTGTTGCCTTTGAGGTGTTCAAAAGGCATTCTTAAAATACAAAATTATTTGAAGTACAAAATTCAGAACTACAAAATATTCATGAAAGTTAGCACCTTATAGCGCAGTATAAGACAGCACTTGGTTAAAATGTTACAGATATTGAGAGGGAGAGTGGGAAAACGACACGGTCGACCAAGGGCTTATAATTTATATTTGTATGAATTTCATAGTAATACAG